CAAACAGTTCAGTTACTTTAGCTGCTTGATGAAACTATAAAGGCCCTTGGAGAGATAAGTGAGATGTGATTTCTGTCATGAAATCAACTAAGAAAATGAGATAACTTATCCTAAAGAGAAAAAGCAGAGTGAAGGTTCTGGTACCATCCAGAACCCTGAAAGAGCTAGATCTTCCACAGGAATCAACCAGAAGACACAAAACCAAGAAGGGGTGGAACTTAGTACTGGGCTGTTGCCAGGGGGTGGCTGGCGCTGAGAGGCCTCATCACAGGGAAGTGGCTCATATTTTCAAGGTGGCCCAGTTAACTCTGACACAAAGTGACAGACAAGTGAGCCCAACAGGGAGTCTTTTCCCCCAAGCAGACTCTGCTCACCCCAGAGCAGTGACATCTCACCTGGTAAAGCTGGGGGTCCACTCACCTTGGCCAGGAACTGCCTGGCCTGAGACGCCAGCACCTGGGTCCGCTCGGTGGAAGGCTGCTCCTTGCTGATGGCTGGGTTCTCTGGAAGCCACCCTGGGGTGGGCGCGTTGATGGGGGAGGAAGGGATCAGGTCTCCTTGAGCTGATGGCCAGCCTGGAATACACAGCCACTGAATGTTGGGGCCAAGGACAGTCCCCGGGGGGCTGAGACTGAAACTGAATGACTAAACCACCATCCAACGACAGCTTGGTCATCCCACTCCGAGAAAGCGTCTGGATAGTGTCGTGCCCACTTAACAGGGCCGAACAAGGACCACACAGCTGTTGGCAAACCTGGCTGTGGGCTCTCAGGCAACAGTGTAGGCTCCAAACCAGGAAGAGATAGGTTCAAAGTCCGGCCCCACCCTGGAGCAGTGTGTGTTCCAGCTCATTGGGGTTCCGAGCCTGGGTCCCCTTAACTGTCAATGAGCTAACAGCAGAGTGTGCCTCACCAAGTTAGGTTCGGAGTCTCAGAATCAGGGGTGACATGGTTGGGCACAGGGCCTGGCTCCATGCTGGCTCCATGGTGACAATGTCTCACACAACTTGCCCAGGATGACCCAGTAGCTAAGTAACCTAGCCAGGGCCCCACCCAGGGTACTTTGCCTCAGAGGGGGGTAACTTTCCACATCTCCATTTGATCTTTTCAAGTCCGAAGACTCAGAAAGGGGCCTTGCCCCCCCCTCTCCTGGCCTAAAGTCAATGCCCTCAGTAGGGTGAACAAGAATCCTCAGAGCAGACAGGGTACCTGTTCTCTTTCGGACTCACCTGAGGACTCGGAGGCCTGTTGGGTCTCAGCAAGGCTCGACCACCGCTCCACAGAGTGGGGCTGTGGGATGGTAAAGGACATGACCTTGGTCCCTTGGGGCACCGTGCCCAGGTGGATGCTGTGTCTGGGCTGGGGTGGGTCCGAGTATAGGTTCACCTGTTGGGGAGGGGAGAAGAGGAGAGGTCAACTGAGAGCCACGTCAGACCTCATCTTCATGCACACCATCATTGAGGTGTTCAACAAACACGCTTTATTAAAATAAACACTACCTTTTAGTAGACCCCTTGGGTGGGGACAAAACACCAGGCAGGATTTATACTCCCTCCTTACAGCTGTCCCCAAAGGGAGACAGGGCAGGGGCCATTGTCTCCATTTTACAGAAGAGGAGACTGAGGCTCAGAGGGGTTAAATCACTCAAAATCTCCAGTCAACACTTCTTTGAGCTGAGGTTTAAAAGCCTACTTTGTCCTCAAAGCCTATGGCTTCCTAGATTAATAATTACTATAAAATAATGCAACATTATGATAATTCATGTAACATTTAACATAGCCACTAAAAATTATCGTTACTAGTAAAACTATTTCCATCTTAATCACCATCTTGATTTAAAAAAAGTACTGAGGGGCCCTCCCTGGTGGCACAGTGAGTTAAAGCACAGCACTAAGAGACTAAAGCCACTTCAACATGAGTTCAATCCCACGCCCTGGAGGTGGGGATTGATCAGACCTCTCCTGATCTGCCCGCTGCTCCCCTCAGCAGTGTACTTTGTCAGTCAGCCTGTTCTGCTCCCTGCTTTGTCTCTGGTGAATCCTCTCACCACTCCTGAACCTCTGGCCTGTACCCCAGTTCTGTATGCATAAATAAATAAATGTTTAAAAAAAAAAAAGTACTGAATGGCTGTTTGCCTCAAAGCATAGGAAAAATGAATGAACACATCTAAGCTGCAGCAGACATCACTCATCCGAGCCCGGGCCAGAGAGAGAAGTCTGGAGTTGGGCCGATGACCAAGGAAGGCCGTTCGAAGCTCAGCATAAGGCCCTGACTTGGGGCAGGCCTGGCCAGCTACATCTGCTTCTGGACTAAGGCTTTATTTTACAAGGCCTGCTCATTTGTTTACATACTGTCCTCTGTCCTCGGCTGCTCACGCTCCAACAGCAAGGCAGAGTGGTTACCACGGAGACCGCGTGACTGCAACGCTGAAAACACTCGCTCTCTGGCAGCTAGGGAGAGTTTGCTGATCCCTGGCTTCACTGTGAGTTTTCCAGAGCCTGGGTCCACCTCCAGGCACTACCACTGCCCACCTTTGAGCTCTAGAGCAGCCGGTTAACCTCTTTGTGCCTAAAGTGTGTTTGATAAACAGCAACCACACCCTCCGGCCATCATCCCATTCACCACTATCTCCATCCTCGCCTTCAGTGGAGTCAGTGGGCTCATTACCATTATCATCCATATGGTCATTAGGGAGACCCTCTCCCTGGTGTCTCAGTGCCCCGCCCCTGCCAGCTTATCTTACTGCCCCTGCGGCTCCCAGGTCAGAGCAGTGGGCAGTTTGGGGTGAGCCTGGTGGAGGGAGCCTTACTTCACAAATAGGCAGTCTCTCCCTTCCTGCTTAAATTGCTCTTCACGTCCTAACTACATCTCGGACAATGGCGCAGCTAGGCTTGCCCCCCTAAACCCTCCCGCCTCTTTCAGGCCCAGCCTGGAGGAGAACAAAGCTGGATTTTAATAATCCCCTGCCATCTGCTCAGGCCCGCCACCGCCTGTCCTCCAGAGGTGACCCAAATCCTGGGGAGGCCCAGTCACCTGCATGCTTCCTGGGCATGGCTCCAGCCCTCCCCCAGTTTCCCCAACTTGGGGAACCCCAGGAAGAGCTCCCCATGGCAGGGATCAAAGAGGAGCCTAACTACAGAGGAATGGGGTTGAATTGGGGAGGGGGTAGACAACTGCAATCCTTCAGGAAACCTGTCTCTGGGCACTGTTGGGGAACCCCCCCAAAGACCTAGAGCCCCCTTTTCAAGCTTGGGGTGTCTCAGAGAGCTCCCTGAGGCTGGGTAAACTCCTTGGGGAGTTAATCAGGAGTCTGTGAGGGAGGCAGGCTAGTGAGTGTGGGAAGTACTGGGTTAAGGAGTAACTAACTGCTCAGGCACAGATGGGTCCCCAGCAGCTTTAAAATGCTAATGGACCTTCTGGATGGGGCCAGAGGGGAGGGGGTGGAGAGATAGGAAGTGCTCCCCAAGTCTTCCAAAACGCCCATTCCCTCCTCTCCCCCAGCAGGGCCTCTGGACCTACTGGCGGACATCAGCACGCACTCTAAGAAAGGCAGTGTTATGTCACTGCACTAATTGGGAGATGCATTTTGGTCTCCTCTGCCCCTCTGGATGGATCCCCTGCAGCAGATGTGGGCGAGGGACTGGGGGAAGGCATGGGCATTGAGTGGGTGAGATCACTGCAAATTCTGGCCAGCCCCCACCAGAGCACAGAGCCGCCAGGCAGTGACTCAGCCATCTTTGGCTCCCAGCCCCAGGACCCCCCCACCCCTTCCCTCAGCTGGGCCCCTGGCCAGACCCCTATCCCCAGCTGGGATCCAGCGATGCTCCCAGGCTAGACTTTGCGCCTCTGGGGTCAGCCTCCTCTGCTACAGAGCCTGGAATCTACTGTTGAGTGATCTTAAGCAAATGACTGAGCCGCTATGCCTCGGTTTCCCTAAGTTCGTTGAGCACATGATCAGTGGACATCACTTATTACAGTCATCACCTCTGTAGCGCCACCACTCTGCCTTGTCCTTCCCCACAGACCAGTGCCAGGCCCTCGGCCCTCCCAGGCAGGGGAAACTTGCACCCACTCTGGAGTCAGGCAGAAAGGGGCTTAATCCCCTACTTTTCAGCCTTTACCAGTGGGGGCAAAGACCACCTGAGCGAGCCTTGGTTTCCCCTTGTAAGAGGTTTTCCCCACTGCCTGGGGCCTGGCAGCATTCCACTGCCCTCCTCCTGATGCTCTGAGCTGATGAGGGGTCCAGCAGGCCCTCAGGAGAGGGGGTCACACCCTCTAGCTCAGCCTGAGGAAGCAGTAGTGGGAGCAGGAGGCCTCTGGGTCTCCCAAGTCTGTGGGGTGTGAAGTCCGCAGGGCCCTAGTCAGAGCAAGCGGCCCTGCTGGGTGAGCAGTGTCCTCAGCATGTTGGATGGTGAGCCCTGCCTGTGCTGTTTCCCCAGGTGGCTGTCAGAGTGGGGACCCTGCTTCTGGAAGAGCCCAGCCCAGCCTCTGCTGAGGAGAAGCCTCAGGCCAGGGGTCAACAGGGAGAGCGTGGCTGGTGCTGACCCACTCCGGCCTCCTGTGCTGCACACACACACAAGACAGGGGTCTGAGTCTCCACCTCTGTCTCCCCGAGTTACCCCCGCCTGTGCAGTCCCGGACACAGTAAACCTTCTAGTTACAACTCCTGCTCCTAGGATCCCCGACTCTCAGGAGCCCAGCAAGCACTTTGCTTACAAGACTCATTCTCTTACATGGGGGGTGGAGGACAGGGAGGGGGAGGGACAGAGGTTCTAAGCCCTTGTCCTTGACCAAGACCTTCTACAGCCTGGCCCCACCTGGGTTGCAGTTCCCCAGTCTGTAGGATGGGGGCGCTGGAGGGCTGGACCTGCAGCCAGTTCTTTTCTCCTCAAACCCAGCAAGAGTCCACAGCCATAGACTGTGGCTTCTCCTGGGCTCTCCCTGGTGAGGCAACAGGTTAAAGCGCAGCACTACGAAGCTACCACAGCCACGGCAGCACAAGTTCAATCCCCAGCCACGGAGCTGACCCCCATAGCACCGCAGACCTCTCCTGACCTCAGCAGTGTATGGCATTAGATCTGCCTGTTCTGCTCCCCACTCTGCCTCTGGTGAATCCTCTCACTCCCTGCACCTCTGGCCTGTACCCCAGTTCTGCATGCATGAATAAATAAATCTTTAAAACAATGTGGTTTTCCCAGAAGGTGTCTGCCCAAGCCCCTCTCGGCCTCCCGGCTCCCCCCAGACCCTGTCCCCTGACTCAGGCTCAGCAGTCCTGGAAGCTGGAAGGAGTCAAACATCAGCGGGGTGAGAGCTTTCCAGCAAGAAGGGTAGATTAACCCCCCTTTACATCTTTACATTCACCTGAGCTTTCAGGTGGCACTCAGGGGACACGGGGCAGGGTCCCTGTGTCCTCTTAGTGAGGCTGCCTTCATGAAAGTGGAAGCCCCTCAATGGTTGGGAGCCGTGCGCTGAGAGGAGGCTGAAGTTGCAGGTCAGTCTCACCCCTCCTCTCTGCTATCTGATGGGGCAAGCGGGGGTAGGCGAGGCAGGAAGCCACAGCAGCTGCAATAGGCCCCACTTCCTGTGTCACCTCAGAACCAGGAAGGTCCCAAGCATACCATATAGGGCCTCCTCCCAAGTGAGAGTGGGGGCTGGGCTGGGTAGGGGTAGATGGTGACTCCCTTCATACCCTCCTGTACACAGTCTTCACCCAGTGGGGG